GCTTTCCGTCAGTGTCAACTCGATTCTCTCACGTCCACTTCAACATTGTTGGACCGGTTCCGCTATCCAAAGACATGGTCTACGTAGTGAACATGGTGGATCGCGCCACTCGTTGGCCTGAAGCTGGCCCAATTCCCGATGTGTCTGCTGAGATCATAATGCGCGCATTCCTCGAGCATTGGGTTGCTTCATATGGTTATCCAGCCACTGTGACTACTGACTGTGGTTCGTAATTCGAATCGTCGACTTTCAACGACCTACTCAGAGTCATCGGATGTAAACGCATGCGGACAAGTGCCTACCATCCTCAGGAAAACGGAATGGTGTAAGGCTGCCACCGACAGCTTAAAACCCTGGTAAATGCCGCCAATGCACTTAGTTGGACAGAAGTCTTACTGATGGTACTCCTCTGTATTCAATCAGGACTGAAATCCGGTCTCGAAACATTCAGCGCCAAACTGGTCTAGGGACAATCACTCCGACTACCAGGCGACTTCTTTTCTGAAAGCCAAAACACTCATCGCTACGATGCACACTATGCTCGGTAGTTAGCCCCGAGCATGTGGCGCAACAAATCGACTAAAGTGCGGGAGCAGCATCGCAAGTTTTACTTTCTCAAAGATCTTCATCACTGCCCGTTCGTCTTCATACGCATCGATTGTCTACGCAAACCACTCGAACGACCTTAAGAACGTCCATTCAAGGTTCTACAACGTAAGAATCACTTCTTCGTCATCGAACGTAACCGCAAGCAAGAAACTGTCTCGATCGACCGCCTCAAAATTGTTCACGTCGAATTAGAGTCTAACGACGACTCTACTTCTTCGTCCTCCGACGAATCGACCCAAGCGATAGTGGAGTAAATACCTGTATATAGCAACACCTCAGCCGGAAATCCACCAACTGAGGCCTCCGAATCTGTTAAGCCTAAAAAGTTACATCGTGAACAAACGTCGTACTATCGCGACCGAGACACTGAAGAAAGTGTTTGACAACCGCATCAGGCGATTTCTTCACGGCATGCAGAAAGACAACGGGCCCATTGAACATTTCCGCAGATATATATGACGGTTTAACCCCATTTCTGTGACTATATTTAACCTCGATTAGGAATGAATTAAATAGGAAACAGGTTCACGGACGAATGGTGCGAATAGTGGGTCGGGACATGCAAAATTCTAAGGGCGCTCTGTGCCACTGACGCGTCAAAAGCATGTCTCTAAGCAGCTGTGTTAAAAAATTCCTTAAGTTATGTGTCTGCGTAATGCTCACAAATCCGAGGAGGAGCCAACCAAAGGTGTAGCAGAGACCTCCGAAGGGTACCGAGATCTGTCAATGCGCCTAGTCTATGCGACCTCGGTGATCTCAAGAAACAGTATGCTTCAGCTGTCGTTTTTGATATTTGTTAGTACTCCCTGGTAAGGTGAACCAGTGTGCCGCTGCTCTCAGCATACTTCCGTGGCTGTAAGTTATAAGTCACACGCCAGTACTGCATTTAACCACAAATTAGCATTGATCATCCACCGTGTCATCTTCTGGATGGGCAACGGTTACGTACTCGGTTGCATCTTATCCGACGCGGTCTACAGAGAAAGCTTGCTGTATTCTAGTCCTCGGTAAAATAACGCTGTGATATGATGACAAAGGTTCGTGCGGTTGCGGCACATACACAGAAGGCGAACATTGAGGTGAACAAGAGGGTAACGTAAGATTAGGCTACGCGGTGACCGGTAATCTTTGGGCATCATAGTTTTTAGGGAAAGAGAAGTTCCCGGTAGTATTGGTTCACTCTCGCAACGGACTCTGCTGTTGAAACGAATACAAAAGACGGAAAGTGGATAAATACTCATCGCCCAAGCCGCTATTATTCCTAATGTGAAAGGCATAATTGAAAGTACTGTCTTTTTTGCTAAAGTGCTTTGTTGGAAGCTAGTTTTCAGATTACTAGAGTGTTGGCCATAACTGTATTTTGTCAGACAGTAAGACAGTTAACTGCATGGATATTTTTGTTCCACACAGCAAAGCACAACGACATCTATCGATCGTTCCACTGGCGAGTAGCCTAAGTTTAGACAACTTTCCATGCCTGTCCCCACTCAATACCAAGTAAGCTTACTGTGTGCTCTGGCATAGCTTGCCCAAACGAGCGATAGAGTGCGAGCCAGCGCGGTGAAGCTAGTGATCGTTAGACTGCCTCAACTCTATAGAGGACCTGTCAGGCTAAGGATTTGCGGTACAGCAAAATCCATGGGATGGCACGCGATTATGTGCCCATCAAACGTAATGGGCCCGCGTGTGCATTTACTTTCCAACACAAATTGCCGATTGCATAGCCGGACAAGAGTTAAAGATGCGCAGGTTCCGTATACGCGCGCCAAATGCGTCACTGCAAGGCAAGAGCGGTAGTTACAGTAGGGTGATCGGTCCCAACATATCGGACACATTGTGAAAATGGCTGGTTGAAGTACCAGTGTGAACATATTTCCTGCTGATAGCGCAATCCTGGTGTTCATCAAATGCTCGAAGGTCCCAATCTAGTTATCGTACTTCTTCATGAGCACACATAAATAGTATGTGGTGCGTTACAACAGGAATCAGTAGTATGAGGGTAATAAACAAACCGGACGGTAACGTGTCAAAGAGGAACCGAACCGAAGTTCTGATGTAAGGAGAACGCTTAGAGGCCACAGATGACTGTACGCTAGATCTAAATACCAAAGCAGCGCATGTCAAGGTTACGAATAAGAGAGTACCACGCTATCTCCAAGAAGACGTTTGCAGACGAGTGGAGTAGTAATGACTTGTCATTCGGGCGAAGCTGATCAGAGTTGTAGACAGGCAGGAGACCAATTAGTCGCTCTCGACGCAAACAGACGAACCTGAGAGGGGCATCAGGATCATCATAGCCTAGAAGGGACAAAGCACAGCTTTGTCACTAAAAACACCGAAGTGGATTAGGTGGAACAGCCACAAGCGAACAAAATGTGTGCGCTGGCCAGACAGAGAGAGAAGAGCTGACACGTCCGATTATGACTCAAGGCGAACAAAGGAGATGGAGCGGAAGTCGATCGAAGTGGGCGGAAGGTATGGGAAATTAAAAGCAGAATGAAGAAGACTTCAAAATACAATGCAGCCAGCGAGAAGACATCGTGACAAAATGGCGTCCCCCATTTGGGTACAGTAGTAACGATACTTGGCTTTATAAATAACCGATTTTAGTCCTTGCCTAGATTTTGTTTTTGACTCTTGGAGTGCTACACGACAAGTGAATAGGTTGGTGGTCAGACAAAGTGCATATGGTGAATGCTCATCGCACAATCAACAATCGTTTGTCCCCGTTTGGTTCTTACAAAGATTGTACAATCCTACTTCTTCTGGTCATGAGGTACTAGTCTTTATTTAGCTCTTTGGCTTAGGTTAATTTCACATTGACCTCTTTCACTGCCACCTGCGCCATTCCGTTGGACTCGCAAGTAAAACGATGAGCGAAACTCCACTACTATTCAAAGTGTGGAACGTATCAGCGTTATACAGTGGTTTATCGTCTGAAACCAGTTGTTAAATAGTTCCACTTTGAATGAAGCGAACATGCAACTTGTTCGCTAAGGTTTGAGTATTAGTTTGGTCAGAATAATTACTAGAGTGTTACCTAGTAAGCAGATAATTTTTCTCATACTTAAAGGTTAGGTCTAAAGTCATTTTTTACTGTAGACCATGTTTGGAAACTCTCGAATCATTACTGAATATTTCCGTTGGTGAACATTATGTTCACAAGGCTAAGCAGTTTGGCACATAGTCCTGAATATAACTGGACTTTGTAGGCCAAAGTACCGAAGGTTCGGATTGCACAATGCAGCTGTTGATTTCGAAATTGGCCGGAAACTGGTTTCGCGTCCAGTTGATTCACCCGAGGTACAAGCTACCATTAGACCAAGTAGTTACAGTTGCACCACTGGGCAAATTAATGAATAGGTTACAGTGTGGCGCAATGTATGGGTTGGCTTCTCAAAGCCAATATCACCAATAATGAGGACTGGCTTTCAGCTCAACTACCAAATCCTGTGTGACCAGTGCTTCTGTATACTTCAGAGAAGTCGCCATTTTGCGGTAGGGGTATTAAGATACTACTCATCTTTGACCACGGGTGTATGTGAAGTAATACCGAACGCGGGTCGGAGCATTGATTCAATTTTCTCCGTTCCACCGTCAAAACAAATTTAGAAATCGTAATTCGGTCGGATGCTTTCTATGACCGAGTTTCAGTTGAGAAACTAAAAATAACGAATAACGAGTGAGTCAGGAGCACATGGGGAAGATAACGTGAGGGAGTCTTAAAGCAAGAAATTAAATTGTATACTCGCCCTTACAAACAAATACTGTTATCTGCAAAAACAGCGCACGAATACTTCCCCAGTGAGGCTGCATGGGTCCCAGTGAAATCCAGCGAAAGCGAGTAAAAAACTAAAAGGAACGAATATGCCAACAGAAAGTTATCGGACAAAGTCTATTGAAGTTGTTGTGTAACACAGTCTCTTTTACCAATGATTTACGTCGCGCAGGCAAAACAGATGTTCAGATGTATCCGAAATGGCTCAGAATGTGTGCCAATTTGTTGGGATAAAAGCGACGTTATCCTTGCATCTAGTTATTGACTAAAAGATGTATGTGGAAGCAGGAGCTGCCGCCCTGGGCAGTAGTGTTACCACAGAGAAAATATCGAGCTGGACAAGTAAAATCACTGAGTGTATGAAATCAGAACGACTTTGTGCAAGACTACATGGTGGCGAGCTTGAGCTAGTTAAGTAGCAGTTCTAACTGTATGATGCGAAGATGGCCTAAGGGCCCAAGTGAATCAAAGTAGTGTGTAATGTCAACTAAGCTGCTGATAATTACGAATCACTAGTCAATAACGAATCTCACGAGAATCCGGAGAGGTGAGATGCGGGACACTCATCCGTGGTTCCGATGTTAGCAATTAGATTGCAATTAAATTGACTCACTTTGAACTATGAATGCGGACAATAAAGCAGCAGTGTTCTCCGAGCAAGTTAGCCGACCGCTTTGGAGGTCCTTTCGGATCTGCAGAGCGAAGAGACACCTTTGGTGAAGAAAAAGAAAGGAAAATGGAGGATGCATTTGTCGTGGATCCACAAAGTAAAGTAAAACGATGGGCGCTATCAAATGGATGGAACGATGAGCTGCAAGATTTTATCCAACACAAAATTACACTTCGCCCTTTGGGTTACAGTCCGTAATATTTGTAATTGAAAAGGACACGTGAAGCACGCAGTGCTCGGAGTTGCAATGAATGGGTTGCATACGAACGATAAATGATACCGAGTTGGCATGCCACAAGGCACATTTAACTGGCGCGAGCATGCGTCAAAGCCCAGACCAGAGTAACTTCTGCTGTGAAGTGCTGTGGAGATCATAAAGTTCCAGTCCCGCATAGGCTGGACCTTACCGTGGTGTGATGGTTTGTGTGCCTCAGCGATCCATTGAGCTACGCTGGGTGGTGCTTTTGCACCTTCAGAGTCACTCATACCAGATTGGTCAATGGTTAGAGGCCAGACAAACTCAGCCTCCTGGTCCTCCAGGTTGGGGATTGGAATGAGGGTGGCACCTTATTCCTTAAAATGGACTCCTTGTAGCCCAACGCCAAACCCGCTGCCTTGCGGACAGGTTTTTGAACCAAAGGCTTTGGTTGAGAACCCTAATCGTTCTCCTGTCTAGGCATGGGCAACCTGACAGTATCCTGCCCACGCAATACTATGAATTTTCCTTCAAACAATTTCTTGATGCTCTGGCCACCGCAGAGGATAATAAACGGTGCCCTATCTGCTGCATCGAGCAGGGTGGATAGGGGTTTGGATGCTACTGCTCAAGCCTTCCCGTCTTCTTATTCCCCCTCTTACGCTTTTTCACTCTTACCGTCCCATTCCAACTTCACTTATATACCCCAGTTTTCAACCCCCGATTCTTGGCCCTCCCCCAACATGCTTTGCTAGGCATTTACCTTCTAATTTCAACTCACACGTGAACGCGGAGCGTCACTCCTCTCCTGTCGACAAGCCCATGTCCAACCCAGCGGTCCAATCCAGTTCATCGGCTTCCATTTGGAGCCCTCGATCCTCCTTCAGATTGGCATGCCTCAATGTACGCACACTGCTACAAATCGCTCAACGGGCAGCACTTGCCCGAACATTGGAGACCCTCTCGATCGATATCTGCTGCTTATCAGAGACTCGCCTGCAAGACTCGAGCACTGTGCTCACTCTGAGATCCCCTTCAGGTGACGCAAGCAGTATTTTCTCCTTGCGCCCATCCGGTGACGATGCAGCTTCGAGCACCGGCCAAGCCGGTGTTGGTATTGCTCTGAGTCCCCGGGCTGAAGCTGCTCTGGTTGATTGGATTCCAATCAGTAGCCGGATGTGTGTGGTCCGATTGGCTGGCTCGTTTAAAGCTTCGAAGTCGCGCGGGACTAATAGATGTCTATTCATCATCGCTGCCTATGCGCCCACAAACTGTAGCGGTGATTCGGTAAAGAACGACTTCTACCGCCAACTGACCCAGCTCCTTCGCCACAGAAGAAGCTCGGACACTGTTGTGCTGGCGGGGGATATGAACGCACAAGTTGGAAAGTTGTCCACTGATGAGCTGCATCTGGGCGGTCAACACGGTGTAGGCTCCCGTAATGATAACGGTGAGCGGTTACTTCATTTGTGTGAAGATGCTCGCTTATTTCTTGCGAGCACTAATTTCCGACACAGCACCCGCCGAAGGGTGACTTGGCGCCCACCAACCTCGAACCAGCCTTGCACGCAGATCGATCACATTGCTATCAGTTACCGCTGGAGAGGCTGCATCCAGAATTGTCGCTCGATTTGGAGCACATGTGTGGACACCGATCATGCACTTGTATGTGCTGACATGCGGATGCGTTTTGGCGGACGCCCACGACGACGCTGTGAGCGTATTGACACCAGCCAACTGACAAAACCAGCTGTTCTGAATGCGTATCGAAGTACGCTAACATGCGAGTTCAGCAAGCGATCACAGGAGACAATTGATGGTCACTGATCACATGTTCGCCAGACCTTACTAGCAGCAGGCAAATCCTCATGTGGTATGTCTAATAGACAACATGGACATTGGGTCTCTTCTCTATCTCTGGAACTTATCGACGCTCGCCGGCAAATCCCGGCTGGAAGCGAGCACAATGAAACTCGCAAAGAGCTCCGGGCAAAACTCCGTGCTAGCCTGAAGAGAGACCGCGAATCTTGGTGGTCTCATCGTGCGTCAGAGATGGAAGTGGCCGCTGCCCTTGGCAACCATCGTAAGTTATTCCGTCTGATACGGGAAACGTGCAGCAGGAGACCTGGTGTTAGTGAAACTATACGTGACGAGAGTGGACAGCCTATCCACAATTTGTCAAAACGTCTGGAGCGTTGGGCTGAGCATTTTGAAATGCAATTTAATCGGCAAGAATTGTTCGATTCGCCGGTCACTGATCGCCCCGCTCCGTGGGCTGTCCCTTTGGATCCACCCTCTCGCTCAGAAGTCGAACGTGAGATCGGACTGTTGAAGTTGAACAAAGCCGCGGGACCAGATGACCTACCTCCAGCCCTCTTCAAATTTGGAGGCTCTGCTCTTGTTGATGCTTTGCATGAATTACTAGTGAAACTGTGGGAGCAGGAGATTGTTCCACCTGACTGGAGTCGCTCCGTTATTGTTCCCATCCACAAAGGCGGCTCGCGCTCGGAATGCGGCAACCATAGAGGAATCAGTCTGATCTCCATCGCCTCCAAATTACTCGCGTCCATAATTCTCCACAGACTGACTGGCGCTCGTGAAAGCCAGATTCGTGAGGAGCAAGCCGGGTTTCGTCGGGGTCGTGGCTGCATCGACCACATCTTCACCTTGCGTCAGTTGTTGGAGCACCGTCACACATATTGGCGGCCCACCGTAGTCGTGTTCCTCGACATCAAAGGTGCCTTCGATTCGGTTGATCGATGTGCCCTTTGGAATTGTTTACTCAGGAAAGGTGTGCCCGAGAAATATGTAAATATTATCCAAGCATTATATGCGCGTAGCACGGGCAGAGTGAGGGCTTACGGCAAGCTGTCGCCACCCTTCAATATCTCCAGCGGTGTGAGACAAGGATGCCCGCTGTCACCTTTCCTATTCAACTTCGCTATTGACGAAGTCATGGAGATTGCATTTACAGGACATGACTTGGAAGGTGTGGAGCTACTCCCAGGAGAACGACTTCTTGACTTAGAGTATGCAGACGACATTGCCCTCATCTGTGACAGCTCCCAGACGTGTCAAGCCGCGCTGAATAGATTAGCACTGACTGTCAGTCGCTTCGGGCTTTGCTTTGCACCACCGAAGTGCAAAGCGTTCCTCCAGGATTGGCAGGGTTCGCCCCCTGTGCTGACCCTTGGTGGGGATCAGCTAGAAGTCGTTCAGAAATTCAATTACCTGGGAAGTTGTATCAGCGCCCTTGGGATCGAAGACGAGATCACGAACCGCATAGCGAAAGCTCGAAGTGCTTTTGCTAACCTTCGCCACCTATGGCGACGGCGCGACATTACTCTCGCCCTGAAGGGTAGAGTGTACAATGCAGCGGTACGCTCGACCTTACTGTACGGTTGCGAAACCTGGCCCCTAAGATCGGCGGACATGAAGAGGCTACTTACGTTCGACCATCGGTGCCTTCGCAGTTTGGCTCACATCTGGTGGGAACACCGCGTGAGTAACGAGCGTGTTCGATGCCTTGTTTACGGCCTAGGAAAAGGGAATGAACCGCTCAGCACCGTCATTTCACTCACCAGGCTCAGATGGCTGGGCCACGTGTTGCGCATGCCAGCCCACCGACTCCCTCGATGTGCGTTGTTTGCTCACCGGGGATGTGGGTGGAAGAAGAGGAGAGGTGGCCAAGCGATGACTTGGTCCAGAGGAATGAAGGCCCTCACTTCGGAGCTGGCCTCAGTTGGAGCTTCACGGCTCCCTGGTTGGGGTCCAAAAGACGGTGAACACGTTTGGCTGGATACACTTGCTGATATGGCAAGGAGCCGACCTCAGTGGCGTTCCTGCTGTGAGTTTCTTTGTCCCTCCCCATCCCTTTAGCCTCCCCCTCCATCTACGATCTTATTTCGTAGGGTAAAACGTAATTAAATTTTTGTTTTTGCCTAGTAGCCGGCTAGTAGCTTACCGGAACGATGCGTATCCGTTGCTGGTAGCTCAGCTGGCATTCAACTGTCGTATTTATTTTTCCTTTATGTATTGTATGTATGTATGTATTTCCTTTATGTATTGCGGTACAATAGCGGTGTTTTACCATCTCTAGCTGACATGTATAATGATGATGATGATGATGAGTCCCGGATAGGCTGACAGTAATCAAGAGGACCTCTATCTCCTTTCGCCAAATCACGGTACAAATCAATCGGACTATGCCCAACTCAACTTATTTGGTAATATGGCGACTTCCTATGATATCCTAGGTTACCCAGGGGCCTGAGTTGAAAAAGATGTTAAAGAATCGGGAAGCCTTCCTGTCCTTCGCATGACTGTGACGTGCAAGTCAGTAGAGACTGGGCTGCACTGTTTCATTATATTCATGACTACCGATACTTAACTATGTCGTGTTCTCGCCTCCACCGAGGTAAGACACTGAATCAGGTTTTCCAGCCCATCTCCAAGCCGATGAAATTCACACAGCTATAACGAATCCGGAAGGACGAAAGGGCTATCCGTGCGTTCCCACACATATTACGGCCTTTAATGGTGATGCCTTCGATTCTAGTAGAGGAGCAATAAAAATGCAGATATGCAAGTGTAACCGTCCATGATTGCAGACTTTCGTTTAGCTCCGGTGGTTCACTGATATTTGTTTTAACGTGTCGTCTCGCTCTCCTTATTGGCTATGTTGCTTTCCGATCTGAGTCCTACTCTGACGCTAACACCCCACCTTCCGTTCGTTGTGTATACCTGATTGGTTCCTTTTTGTTCAGTATAATTGGCTTCACCTGTCCGCATGTTTTCCGCATTCTGGCTGGATTTCACGTTTGTGTCATGCTATATAACGAAGTCATTTCCTTAGGTAAAATAACCCCTGAGTCCCAGTACATGGTTGGTCGTGTTCGCACTACCTTTAGTGGGTGGAAGCAGTCGCGGGGCCCAACATAACAGATTCAGATCAAATGAAATCCCGTGAAATCACCTGTCCTACAGGAGAAAAACACTTCGCGCCTGCGAGATGGGGAATTAGCCTAGCGAGCAAGACAGCGGAAACGTGTTCCCGTCACTGTCGTTCACTACGCAAGCTAATTGTATCTTCTGTTGTGTCTGATGTGGTGAGAGCGATAGCGACACTGTGTGCGTCCACGATGCCTTTTTAACGCACTATCGGAGAGTTCACGTGTGTGCGCATATAGATTGGAGGGGGTCCAAGTTCATGCACGCGTGCCCACGCGGATCTACCTGTCCACTGTCCAATATGAATAAAGCCGTAAGAAGACGAACACTGGCAGATGTCAACATTTCGTATTCTCTCTTCAGTGCGAACACAATAACATGAAAATATTTTAATGTTATTGTGTCGGCACTGAAGAGAGAATATGAAATGTTGACATCTGCCAGTGTTTGGCTTCTCACTGTCCAATAACCAAACCAGCATCCAAACAAGCAACCAATGTGTGCGTGTGTGTGTGTGTGTGTGTGTGAAGGTACCTGGACTTATTCATCGTGTGAGTGTTTGCGTTTGGGCAAGCGAAATAGGTGGATGACTGCACTGGGACTGAGTTGCTCGGACTTGAGCCCATATACTATTCCCTTAGAACAGCACGTGTCTACCCAAACTAGCAACAGAAAGATGGCCGGTTGTTAGACTGAATTTTACTTAGAGTCAAGTCTTTAAACTCCTTCGTGTAGTCTCTGTAGTAAGGAAGCAATGCAAACAATTGGTACAGCTAGATGTGCGCTTAGCTTGTACCCATAATGACCAATCGTCTGTTTCGTTAAGCTACTCATATACGCTCCATCCTATTTACTGTGACTAGCCACCCTGTGGTCTCGCTCAATTGGGTGCAGCGACATGATGTGATGCATTTAAGGCGGTCAGAGAGCATACGCAACTATGACCAAGCCAATGTAAGTTGCTCAATTGAACAAACACTCCAGCGACGTATTGGCGGATTTCTTTCTGTGGCGAACAGTGAGATGATCGGACATTCACATTGGCGGAACTCAAGCAAGTCAAGGAAACCGTTTAATCGTGAAAATACCACTAGTACTTCTTAGGCTACTGAGCATCGATGTAGCACACATCTGTCGGGAAAAGTGACCAGCGAAATCGAAGTAACCAAAAGTTGTCCTAGCAAGCGGAATAAAAGCACTCAGTTCTGATATGCATTGCCATTGTCTCATTGACATTGGAAAACTATGTGGTCAAGAGCAGAGATGGGGTACTATGGAAACTCTAAATCCTACCGGGTGAATTCGTCTTCCATCAGGTTAGGATGTGGGGTGTAGAATTTGACAGCGAATGTGTACACATAATCTTTGTGGACAGTGTGTTGCTTCCGTAGGGGCTTCATGTGATCCAACCAAAACTGGAATAGAAGGACAGGGGGGAACGAATTACTAACAAATCACATGCCGTTACTTTATATGTATCAATGGCATTAAACATCTATCCTATCGTTTTGGATCAAACAGATGAACGTACCTGAAAAAATCTCAAAGTCGCACCTTTGAATCCACTACTACCTCGGCGCGGTTGCGTTCTCTTGGCGTACCATATAGCTGCCAAAATGCGAAGCACGTAAATACATCTGGTGGCCGGGAGCCGATCAATAGATAGAACAACTCGTACAATGGCGTGCTGCCTGCCAAGAACCTAATCATCCCCACAACCTGTGCCAATGTCTCCATGGCAGTGGCCCTCGCGCCTGTGGAACAGAATACACACTGACTTCTGTGGACCCATCAACGGCTCCATGGTTCGGGTTGTAGTGGACGCCTATTCCAAATGGATCGAAGCTCGAGTAACCACATCCATGACTGGGTCGACCACTGTGCACATCTTAAGGAAGATATTCGCTACACATGGTGTACTATGTACGGTTGCTTCAGACAACGGCCCGACATTTACAAGCGACGAGTTCGCACAATTCCTATGTCAAAATGGAATCGAGCATGTTCTCTCAGTACCATATCACCCTTCGTCCAATGGTCCGGCAGAGAGAGAGAGAGAGAGCGATTGCGACAATCAAACGGGGTGTGGCCAAACAACAGGCCGGAAATTTATAAACCCGTCTGGGCAAATTTCCATTACAATATCGCATTGCGCTACACACTACCACGGATCATCCACCATGTGAACTTATGATGGGACGACGTCTGCGCACTCGGTTGGATCTGATTAAACCCAAACTACATCGAACAGTCGGTAAATGCCAGTCTGTGATGTAGCAAAGCTACGACATGAAAACGAAGGATCGTGTAGTTGAGGCAGGCGATAGAGTGTATGTTAAACTGAGGCCAACGGATAGAGCATGGATCCGAGGAATTACGAGATCGACAGGAGGTAGTGCAGGGGAAACGTAATTGGATGATGGGCGAATACTTCAACGTCACTTGGACCAAGTGCGACGACAGCCTGTGAGTCCGACAGAGGAACAAGCCAGTTGCCCATCGCTTGCACCCCTGAGAATAGCGACAGAAACATTGCCAAATGAAGACCACGCTGAGCAACCTAACAGACATGGCGACCATTTCGTGAGAAGCGCAGCGCAGATCACTACCAAGCTAGTTACTCTGGTTAGCGGTGGAGAACTGTTGTGATTGATTATCACAAGCCACGGCCTGCCTGGCCATGCACGTGATAAATGCGTGTGAATAAATGTCCACGTTATCAAGCGAACCAGTGACTTGGTCGTGTGTACACATCATAGCTGTGTGCTTTGCATTTCCGTGTTCTTAAAATAATTCCCACGCGCAGAGTAGTCTAGACCAGCCATTCTCAACGGCGATATGGCCCCGCTGGGGGCCATAGGGAATTCCCTGGGTTTCAATGAAGCACGGGCAATGCTGGTCTTCAGCAAAGCAGTGATTCCCATTCCATTAATATGAATGAATATCAGAAATTAGTTCCGGGTGAAGAATTCTTTTCGGTAACTCTCATCAGACCCAAAGGTTTAAAAAACACTGATATTGTGGGGTAAGCGTCAACTCGGGCCGGGATTTACTTCTGCACTGTTTAAATGATCACAATCGATAACTTGAGACATAGATAACGATGGTAAACCAAGTAAACTAAATACACATACATACGCAAAGCTCAGTGGTCCAAAGTAATTAAGTAGGTAAGATAACAGCCAAATAACTAAGTAACAGTGTCCGTTGGCCAAGGTAGTAGTATTGGCCGTATGAATCGTTTTTGTATACATAATTCCGGCGTCAGATGGTGAATGTAGATAGCCTCGGCGATGGATAAGAGCTGTTTTCGGAATCCTTGGGTGTAGTGTTCAGATAGTGAATAAATGACTTTGAAGTCATTCTCTGAAGCTGTGTGGCCACATTCAAGGAGGTGCGACATGACTGAGCTGTCTGAAGACCTCATTTCGCCTTTGTAAAACCATGTCGGGATGTGTTCACGAACCCTCTGAGATAGGCGTCTTGTCGTGTGACCCACATATCGTGCACCACAGGAGCACGAGAACTGATAAACGATCATTGAACGGGTCAACAACGGTAGTCTATCTTTCAAGGGTTTCGTAAGCAACGGTTTATTGTGAAAAATGATTCTCGGCCGGGCCGCGAAATAAGTTTTCTCGACAGCGTCCTTCAGGCGTCTGGATAACATATCAGCTGCAGAATCGACCTTAAATGGTATGTGTATGAAAAGCCCTTTCTTAGGAGCAATGCACCTAGGTGGCTTTCGATTGCGTTCCTTCAAATGTATCATGATAAATTTATCCGGATAGCCATTTTCCCTGAGGGCGTCGCTGATTCTCTGGAGTTCTTCGTTGACGGTATCCGGTGTACAAATAGTGCGCGCCCGGAAGGCGAGAGATCTGATTAGACTCCGCTTATGCTGTAGTAGTACTGCGCTGTGGAAGTTAGTGTACTGCCCAGTCCATGTGTGCTTTCTGTGTGCCCTTCTGGTGCATGATCCGTCCGAGTTACGGATAACCTCTACATCCAAGAAAGGTAACCGGTTTCTGAGTTCGTGTTCACAAGTGAATTGAAGATTCTCGTGTACGTCAGTGAAAGCTTTCAGCAACTGTTCCGCATGCTTTTCGGATTCGCAAAGTATGAAGGTGTCGTCAACGTACCGTATGTACATTTCGGTTTCGCGGATGTGCGTTGCAAGTGGGCCATGTTCCAATTTCGCCATGAAAATATCAGCCAGCAGCGGTTCCAAAGGAGATCCCATGGCCACTCAGTCAATCTGACGATACATTTCACCATTGAAGGTGAACTGAACATTTAACGTGCAACGAAGTAGCACCTACTTTAGAAAATTCTCCGGAAAATTGTGTATATGGGCAGTTGCCGAGCAAACTCGCACACGTAATCCACGGTTTTGAGCAATGGAATGTTTGTGAACAACGACTGGGCATCGAATGATATCATTCTTTTGTTAACAAGGTTGATTTCGGATATCATCTCAATGAATTCGAAGGTGTCTCTCACGTAGTAAGTACAAACCAAATTCCGTAACGGCTGCAGCTTCGCCACCATCCATCATCATCATCATACACGTTAGCTGGAGGTGGAAAACACCTCAGCTATTGTGCCGCAATACAAAAGACAAGAAAAGAAAGAAAACAAACAGTGGCACGTTCGCTGAGTCTCCAGTAACGGATGGATATCGTTCCGAAGAGCGAACAGCTGGCTATCGTGCCGTAAAAGAGAGTTATATTATGCCTAACAAGTGACATCGTGATTGGAGGGGGATGTTAAGCAGGAGGAGGATGGACAAAGGAACTCACAACACAAACGCCATTGGTGCCGGCTCCTAGCCATATCAGCAAGTGTGTCCAACCAAACGTGTTCACCGTTCTTAAGACCCCAGCCAGGCAGTCGGGATACACCAACCGACGCCAACTTCGAAGTGAGGGTTTTCATTTCTCTCGACCAAGTCATCACTTGGCCTCCCCTCCTCCTCTTCCAACCGCACCCACAACGCGCAAACAATGCACGTCGCGGGAGTCGGTGTGCTGGCATGCGCAACACGTGGCCCAACCATCGGAGCCTGGTGCGTGATATAATGGTGCTGAGCGGTTCACTCGCTCTTCCTGCACCAAATACGCGACGTCGAACACGCTCATTGCTCACGCGGTGCTCCCACCAGACATGAGCTAAGCTGCGAAGGCAGCGATGATCGAATATGACGAGCCTCTTCACGTCTGTCGACCTGATGGGCCAGGTTTCACAGCCATATAGGAGAGTTGAACGGACGGCTGCGTTGTAAACTCTGCCCTTCAGGGCGAGAGTAATGTCGCGTCTGCACCACAGGTGGCGGAGATTGGCAAAAGCACCTCGAGCTTTTGCTATACGGTTCGTAACCTCATCTTCAATCCCACGGGTGCTAATATAGCTGCCCAGGTACTTGAATTCCTGAACGACTTCTAGCAGATCACCACCAAGCGTTAGCGCAGGGTTGGGTCCCTGCCAATCTTGGAGAAGTACTTTGCATTTCGATGGAGCAAAGCATAGCCCAAAACGATGGACAGCCAGTGCTAATCGGTTCAGTGCTGCTTGGCATGTTTGGGAGCTGTCACAGATTAGGGCTATATCGTCCGCATACTCCAAGTCAAGAAGTCGCTCACAAGGAAGTAGCTCCACACCTTCTAGGTCGTGTCCAGCGAACGCTGTTTCCATGACTTCATCAATAGCGCGGTTGAAGAGGAAAGGTGACAGCGGGCATCCTTGTCTCACGCCGCTGGTGATACTGAAGGGTGGCGACAGTTTGTCATAAACCCTCACCGTGCCCGAACTATGCGCGTACAGCGCTTTGATAATGTTTACATATTTATCAGGCACACCTTTCCTCAACAGACAGTCCCAAAGGTCACATCGATCGACTGAGTCGAAGGCACCTTTTATGTCAAGAACCACGACAACGGTGGGTTGGCAATAAACATGGCGGTGCTCCAACACTTGACGCTAGGTGATGATGTGGTCGATGCAGCCCCGACCTAGACGAAATCCGGCTTGCTCTTCAAGAATCTGGCTATCACGAGTGCCAGTCAGTCTGTGGAGAATGATAGAGGCAAGCAATTTAGAGGCAATCGAAATCAGACTGATCCCTCTGCGATGGCTGCATTCCAAACGAGAGTCTCCCTTGAAAACTGGGACAATGACGGAGCGGTTCCAGTCTGTCGGGACTGTCTCCTGCTCCCAAAGTTTTACTAGCAACTCGTGTAAATCATCTACTAGAGCAGGTCCCCCGAATTTGAAGAGGGCTGGGGGAATTCTATCTGCACCTGCGGCCTTATGCAATTTCAACACCCTGATCTCACGTTCGACTTCTGCGCGTTATGGCGGATCCAAGGAGACGGCCCAGGGAGAAGGGCGTTCAATGCCCGAAGAAGAAAGCGAT